GAAATATAGATATGAAAAGATGCTTGACATCAAATGTCATTAAGAAATGGCAAATTGAAGCAACAATGAACTATTACACCTATTAGAATGCATAAAATTCAAAACACTGACAATATCAAATGCTGACAAGGATGAGGAGCAACTGGAACTCTCATTCATTGCTGGTGGGAATGCAAATGGTACAGTCACTCTAGAAAACAGTTTGGCAGTATCTTACAAAGCTAACTATAATCTTACCATAGGATCCAACAATTACATTCCTAGGTATTTAACCAACTGATAAGAAAATACACAAAATCTTGCCCACAAATATTCTTAGCAGCTTTATTCATAGTTGTGAAAAACTGGAAACAACCAAGATAGTCTTCAACAGATGAATAGATACACAAAACATGTTACATCCATACAATGAAATATTATAAGTGATAAAAAGTAATCAGTTATCCAACTACAATGAACCTTAGATGCATGTTGCTAAGTGAAAGAAGCCAATCAGACAAGGCTGTGTGATTCCAATTACATGACATCTGGAAAAGGCAAACTATACAGACAATAAAAACAAATCAATGGTTTCCAGGGAAAAAAGGTTAAAGGAGTGATAGGTAAAGCACAGAGGATTTTTAATGTGTTGAAATTATTCTGTATGATACTTTGATATTATAATAATAGATACATGAAATTATGCATTTGTAAAAATCCATAGAACTTTACAAAACAAAAAGTGAACCTTAATGTATTCAAATTTTTAAAAATCAGTTAGAAGGTCAGGGGAACCCAGGATGAAATGTAGATTGTGACAAAAGGATCCAGCTGTATTATACATTTCTGCAACAACCTCACTAAAGAGGATAGAAGGAGTGATCTGTGAGACTAAAAGCAAAAGAAACTGCACGTAAGTACTGCACTCTAATTGATAAAGTTGTTTTCCATTCTCTGTAAAGGGAGTAAAGGCTAACGATTTCAATAATGCAATTAAAAAATTAAGTCAATGGATGGCAAATGGTGGGAGCCAGGTTTCTTCTCACTATTGGCATAAGTTTACAGATAAGCAAGGAGAGAAAGTTGGATTATATACTGGGTTGTTGGAAAAGTCATGACGTATTTTTTCTGTTTTTCGTTGCAAAAATGGGTCATGACTTTACTAACAACCCAATAGATGGTAATGGATTAAGTAAAGTAAAATGTATCCACACAAACTCATGTTTAGCTTAATATAATACACATGGTTACATAGAGAAATATGTATATATATACATGTAGGTTTGTATACACATGTTATTTCCTGCTGTCAAATGAGAGGGCCTAGAAATAATGGCACCATAGTAGCAACATGAACACCTAGCACCCACATCTTGGTTTCTAATACCATTTCCCAAGAAAATAAACCAGATTCTTTCTGGCTGAATCTAGGACTGGGGAAGAAATGGAAATATATAAGAGGAGCCTGGAACATCTTTTAATGCTACAAAGTAAGGAAGTGATTTAAAAACAAACAAAAAAAACACACCTCACATTATGGAGCAAACTGAAAGAGCTCCCAGTGAACAAAGCTGAAACAATCTGAGCAACAAGTAGCACTGGATTATAACCCAAGTACACACACACACATATATATATATATATATATATATATATATATATATATATATATATATATATATATATATATATATATATA